GGCAGAATCTCATCTGCCATCATCAGGCTTCTGTATTGTGTTCGTCTACAGAAGCCTGATGATGGCAGATGAGATTCTGCCGAAACATTGCTACAACTTTAAAAGCACAACTATAATGACGTGGGAAAATACCCGAACAAAGCTGAATACCATACATGTAAGTACCCGCAAAAACTTAAGAAAACATATATATGTACATACATACACAGAGAGATAGGAGTGGGGAGGAAGGGAGAGAGGGAGGGAGGGAGAGGGGGTGATGAAATAACCAACCGGGATTAAGAGCCTCGGTGGCGCTGTGGTTAGAGTACAGTACTGCAAGCTACTTCTACTGCAATTTGGCAGTTTGAATCCCACCAGGCTCAAGGTTGACTCAGCCTTCCATCCTTCCAAGGTGGGTAAAATGAGGACCCAAATAGTTGGGGGCTATAGACTGACTCTGTAAACCGCTTAGAGAGGGCTAGAAAACACTATAAAGCGGTATATAAGTCTACGTGCTAGTGCTATTGCTATTACAGGCACAATTTATTTGCAGATGTACACTTTACCTGACAAACGGTGTCTCTCTTGTTTGTCCCTGAACCTCTTCTCGACAAACTTGAATCCACCGACTGGACATCAGAAGCATCAGCATCTGCTGCAGCCAATGGGCTATCGGATTGCTTTCCAAAACTACCCTAAAATAAAGTAGGCGCAGGTGTTTTCATTCTCTTTAGAAGAGCTCTAAAATTAGAATCAGTGTAAATCCAGTTCATTAAAAGGGGAAGGGGGGGGGGAGAAAAAACCCAGCTAACTATTTCCATAATTTCTCTGAGCTCTGACTTAGGTCAATTAAAATGCCGCCCTTGGTGTAATCTCATCTTACACCAAGGGAAGAAAATTTGCAGAAGGATGAACCACATTGCCTGGATGGGAAAACTTCATTCTGTTTAAAACAAACGCATCTCATTGCAAAATTCATTCCAACGAATTTGGAGGGGGGAACATAGGGGAAAATATTAACCACAGCGTAATCGCAAGGGGACGTTTTCCAAAAAGGAAACCGAACCGAAATGTTCTGACCCAGGCCTCGTCCAAATTAAGGAAACACAAACTGAGTGTAAAAACCAAACTTTTTAAATGTGATGCTGGGAATTTCTTGCATTCCCAGCCGAAACTCATTAGACACAATTCTCTGAGATAAGCTGACGCCTTTCAGGATTGTAGAAGGCTGCCAAGAAATAGAAGTCCACTTAATTGGAATATCAACTGACAGAAGTTCCAGCAAAGACAAACCGGAGTTTGCAGGGCTTCAATGAGGAATCAGAATCTAATGAACTTCTTTGCTTCCTGCAAAAAAGCACATCCCCGAGGGCTGACTTTTATCCCTCATGGGAGGGGCAATCACCTTCCAGCCTTACTCCTGAGTCGCCCCTTCTGCTTCAGCTGCTCTCTCTCCTTCTAGCAGCCCTGTGCATACGCAGACTGGGAACAGGCTCCCCTGGGTCCTCTGTTCGCTGCTGCCAGACTCTGAAGGCAGCACCCCATTCCCAGATGGTCCTGGCCCCATCTCTGCATCTGACACAGAACCCTCGCATGAGTCCTCGCCAGACTCCCGGACTGGTTTCCTTTTGTCCTCACTGTCCGATATCTCTGCCATCTGCACCGGCTGCCGGTGAACCACAACATATTTTCCACCCTTTTGAAAAGCTATCAAACAAGTGATTTAAGTTCAAAGCATTGGCTTCTGTTTGGCCTTCTTTATAGGGAGCTTTTCATGACTGTGTGATGGTGGTTGCACTTGGAAAGTTGATTAGTATCGTCATTACAAACGTCTACACAGAGAAATGGGGCATTTAAATCATAAGATGCCTCTTTCACTGGAAAACAAATAGAGGACACTAAAAGAGAAACCAAGAGGCCCAGAACCCTGAAGACACAACAGTAGAAAAATCTGGCTCCTAAAATGCAGCTCCCCAAATCCAAATCTTCAGCTCTATTATCCAACAGAAGCTCCTTTCAGGAGAAATTGGAAAATAATATAATTGTGCTCAATTACAATGACCACCTGGCCAGTTTTGCCTTATTGGGATTCATCGGATGTGGGTAGCTCGATGTTAATTCTATGGCAGGGGTGTCAAAACTGGTGTCGTCACGGCGGTGTTACGTGACGTATCGGGACTTTGTGCCCCTTCGCTACACCAGCATGTGAAGTATCTGGGCCACGGGTTTGACACCCCTGTTCTATGGGGTTTCAATCCTCTGCTGCAGGAGCGTCAAACTCCGTTTCATTGAGGGCTGCATCAGGATTATATTTGACCTCAGAGAGGTGAGGTGGGTGTGGTCAAGGTATGGATGTGGCCAGCTTGATGTCACCTGTGTCAGGGGCGCCTGTGGTGGACCGAGTGCTCTGTCTTTGAAAATGGGCTCCCGAGGTCTGTATTCGGATGCGACAGCCTCCTGCAACCCTCTGCCAGTGAAAACAGAGGTCAGGAGGGCAGCCCGTAGCCCACCTGAACCCCGTTTTTGCTGACAAAGGCCCCCCATGTGTGGGATTCATGGGCATAGCTTTTGTAATGTGATCAGGAATTTTTTTTCTCTCCCAGAATTAGTCACCACCCCATGGCAAATAAATCTATCCCACTAGCTCTCCTCTCTGTGTCTTTATCATCCTTACCAGGGCTCTCTCAAACACTCCTATTGTTTTCTGTAGAAAACAATGCTAATTGAGACCAGAAAGCCCTTTGACGCGGCTGAAAAGTGCAATGGCACATGATTATGCTGACTCACGATAGCGGTTCTATCGCTCCCAATCATGGTCGCTCAGCAAATCCTGAATGGTCGTTAAGCATGATGTCACGTGATCGCCGTTTGTGACCTCCTGCTGGCTTCCCCAGTGCTGCAGTGAAGGTCACAAATGGCAATCATGTGACTGGACGATGCTGCGACCATAACTGCAAGCCGGTTGCCAAACGTCTGAATTGTGATGCTGGTTGAAATGCCACTATGGTTGCAACTATGAGGACGCGTCGTAAGCCCCCTTTCATTTAGTGCTGTTGTTACTTTGAACAAGGGATCATTTAATGAGGACTGCTTGTGTTCTCTCCAGTCTTCCTCTTACCTCACTGGGCATCTTCCAGTATTATTAATTTCCTTATAGTATTTCCCTGGGTTATTCTCAATTCTTTCTTAAATCATTTTTCTAGCCCAAATTGCTTTGCTGCTACCCCTGATCAGGGGTGGCTATGAATCGCTCCCTTCTCTTCCTTTTTGGTGGCAGGATACTCTCCAAAAATCCCACCATGTTTAATTTCTCAGGCACCTTGGCTTCAGGTGAGACCTAGAGGAATTTGGGGAATATTGTTTTATTTTTCCTGCAGTTAATAATGAAGTTTGAATATTAAGAAATAATAATCATTAAGATGTGGGAAAGTTAAAGATAGAAACATTGCTACTCGCAAGCCTTCCCCAAACCATCTTCTGTCTTTGCCACCCTGAAAATAAAATACTCTTTTAAGATTTCTGTGATTTGAATCTTTCTTGACTATTTCCTGTCACACAATTATCAAAAATTGATGTGTAGAACAGAATGTTAAACAATGCAGAGAAAAGCAATGTTTTAGCCCCAAACTCCATCAAGCCAATGCTAACCGTGATGGCTTAACTGTTCTACTGAAGTGTTCTGGGCCAACTCTTCCCATTTAGTTTGTTTAAAAGCTATAATGTTCATGTTTGCTCACAGTCTTGACTGCAGCAAGCATTTTATGTAATTCCACTTTTTTTTGATATTTTCCTTTTCCAATGAGGAGAAAAGACAACCAAACAATAACACTCAGAATACAGAATTCAATAGATCTTAAGGAAGGAGCAGAAACATAACCTATCTGCATTTAAGTCGCAGTTGTTTATACTTGCCTGTTGTCAAAAATCTGTTTGTTGTTAAAATGGGGTGTTTTTGTACATTGTTTGCAAACAAAACATATTCAAAGAAGATTAGCAGCCACAAACATCTCACTCCCAAGGTTTTAAACATAAAGCAATCTGCGAAACAGATTTACCACATTATTTGTCAGTTTCAAAGCTGGGGCCGAATAAATACCTGTAAATCATTAAGTCCTCTTGAATCAGAATCGGAGGTATCTCTGTAAGCGGAGTTGGCCAATTCTACATCTGTGGAGGCACGACTTCTTTTCTTTAGAGGTTTACAAGAATCGGAAATCTCACTGGCACCTTAACACAACACACTGGAATTAATCCTAAAAGACCTCTCAAATATGTAAGCTACTGAAAGACAAATTAAGAACAATGCCAAGAAAACTAGCCAAACTGCACACTTGATTTAAAAGCTTTTCAAATTCACAACTCTTCCACTTTTTTGGAGGGGGGGGGGGAACAGTAAGCTAATCTATGATTTTAAAAGCAGGGCTTTTCCAATTGCAACTTTTGGATAGGGACTACACAGTATAACTTCTGCTCATTTATACCTTATCTCACAAATTAAAATTCTCCCAAGGCAGCTTGCAATATAAGAACTAAAAGCAATCACACAATTAAGAATGCATCGGGATGAACTGTTTCAAAAAGAGAGTGGAAAGTCAAAATTTGAAACAATATTGCTTAACGATAAAGTTGTTTTTATAGCATTTTTTAAAAAAGGATGAAGAGTCAGGCAGACACTGATTTGTGGTTGGTTTTTGGATATTTCATTTTGTTGACACTTAAGGCACCTTATCCCCGTACGTAAAATACAATCTCAGAAGCAATTAGCACCGAATATACATTATCAAACTAACATGAAATCAAACATCCTTCTATGCCTAGATCTGAATGGTATTCATTACATTACAGGGCCTTGGAGGAAGCAAGCAGAAATGCTTGGTGTCAGTGATGGTAGAAATTTGGAGGAATGAAGCAGAAGTGAAACACCTCTCCTTCCCATCCTAGCCTCTGCTTGGACAGGAAGCATGACAAATGTGGGACTCTAAAGAACTACTTGAAGCACGCCTAAATCCCAGCCATTCTAACCTGGGGATGGAATAAAGAGAGTAATCAGCCTAGAGTTGTTATGTTCCCGTAAACCAGGGTGGATAAAAATCGTTGATTTTTAAAAATTTAAAAAATGGATTTTTAAAATTTGTAAATCGGATGGGTTTTTTAGTCAAATTTATTTTAATAAAATGCTTTGGGAATAACAATCTATCTAAAGATAGTTTTCCATTTAAGATACATTAATAATTAAGTTTATTCAGCATGAAATGGAGCTTGGTCATGTAGCATGAGGGTGTGTATTCTGCAATATTTTACATTTTACATTTACATTTTGGGTAAACTCATTCAATGAATCCAAGTGGAGATAACATGCACTTCATTGATGCATTCACACAATTTCACAGCAGAGACGACAGTTGCTTTTTAAAAGTTATGATTTAAATCAGGTTGATTTAAATCAAGCCTTTTTACTAGTGATTTAAATCAAATCCATTCTGCCATAAACAGTCTAAGTCCAACACCTCTTGAATTCTGTTGATGTCAGGTGCAAATAGCCAGAAGCATTCATTGAATTCAAAGCAGGGAACAGTTTATTATTGCTACCTCTACATAAGAATCTAGTCAACTTTAACAGTAAATTTTGGTGCTAGACAACGGTCAATGGAATTTATGGAGAGGCTGGATTTGGGTCTCTTGTGACACCGCAATGACTCCAAGCTGATGACACATTTAACCCTGCCTTCCTGTTCGCCTGATCTTCTCCTAGAGTTGACTCTTACCTAGCCCAATTTAGTGTTGGTCTTTGGTTGGCTAGATTCTTGTGTGTAGGCATGAGCAATAAATTAAATAACTGGAGCTCCATGTGTGGTCCTGGCTCTTCCAGCCTGAGAAATCTCCACATGATATCATAAATTGGAGAACCATATGCCTAAAGTCTTTCTGAAGAAATGAAATATATACCACAAAACCACTTGTTCCACACCCAAGGCTAGAACTCACCCCAGTAATTATTCTTACTGGAGATTTAAGAGAGGGTGTTTGTGCTTTCATTTTGCCTGCTTTGTCAAGAGATTCTGCTTCACTGACTTTTGACACAACCTGGTTACAGAGGGGTTAGCGTGACAATAAATTGCATTTATTTGGCAGCATACGAAGAACGTTAATTTACAAGTCTGTCAAAAAGCTTTAGTGACCGAGAAACAAGACAAACCACAAGAAATAAAAGCCACACCAACCTTTCTGTAAGCCAGTCTTCACTGCTGCCTGTGGGGCTGTTTCTACCTGTTTAGACAGGAAAATGGGTGGTTAGTAAAGACATTTCTTGTTCCCTAGTACAAAGGAGGAAATGTAAATTCAATGCAAGCAGTTAGTATATAAGGAATCACATTTAAGGGTTCCCCCCCCCCTCCACCCATAACCCAAATATATATTTCTCTTTTTGTGGATTTAATTAAGACTGCCTTCCCTAAACAACATAAAACGGTTCTCTCTGTTTCAAAATCGTTCAATGTGTGCGTGAAGTAACAGGAAGGCTTTTTTTTCTATTTTTGTCCAAGAACCAATTAAGGAGTTAGGGGTAGGGAGAGCTATCAAGCCTTGAGCTAGAGGAAAGGGGGAAATAAAATAAAAATAAAAATAACATTAGCTATGAAAGGAGAGAAAAGCAAGACGCTCAAGTTCCAAATGACGTTTTAACTTACGGCCCCGTTTTTGAAGCCAGAGCTTCTGAGGTCATGGGCTTCCCCTTTCTATAGAGTTCTGCAAAGGGCAGAAGGGGGAAAGGAAGCCATGCAAATGCACTGCAGGCCTCTATATAGCTGGAAGCAACATCGAGACAGCGCATGGCGATAGGCAGGTGGTGGCCTTGTGAAATCCCTTCCAGGCTTTTGGGCATTTCTGTGCCTTGGATCCTACATAGAGAAGTTGGTTTTCGGCCGGGGAACACCCAAGTTGTGAATTTGGTAGTGGTGGCAAGCAGCTTCTTGGCTAAAAGGTCTCGCACTTTTTTTGTTGTTTTTGTTTTAAGGCTATAAATCATAGTTTGAAAATGAAAATAAAATAAAAAGTTCTCCATAAGGTGAATTAACATAGGCAGATTAAGAAACACATCTCAAAGTATTTATGAAGGATTGTTCTATAATGTTTGAAAAATATTTTATTTCGTTGTACAATGGATAAAAACATACAATAGAAGGATTTGTATAGGATACAATTGATAATATACAAATATAAAATCTAGACAATCACTTGTATTTCGCTATCACTCACTTGCAACAGAATTAACATTTGTCTTTCTCAGTTGAAATTAATATTCCAGTTGTCATCTTAAAATTGAAAGGATGCAGAATTAATTTGGAAAGTCACTGATATGAACAAATATGGTTGCTGAATCCTAAAATATCAGTATGCCTTTCTGATCATATTACATATTCAAGCTTATGCAATACAGTGCTTCTCTGATCATTAAGCTTTCCTATATGCTTTACCTGAAAACACCAGTACAATATACTATGTCGATTTAATTAGTTACATAGTATAAGGCAAGCAAAGATTACTTGGGGAATGAGTTTTTTTTAATATTAAAAAAAAAAAAAACCTGCATTGAAATTTTCTTCCTTTAAAGTCACTATTTTGGAAATCCAACCCAGGAAAAGTATTGCTGGGACAGCAAAACCAAAGTTGAAAGCTGGAATAATGAACTGGTATTTTAAACAGAAGATGTTTAGCTTCGTAGCGAGCAAAACTAAGAAGAATAAAAATAAAAATATCGTATGTAACATTTATTAGAAGTTGCCGTCTTTGAATTTTTTCAAATCATTTGGGCTGTTAGGGAAAGTGTGTTGTACTTGATAGTCCCAAAATAAATTCCCTTTGAATTTAAAACACGGAGCACACCCAAATGGTTGAGAAAATCCAAAATGTAATAACCTTTCTTGAAACATGCAGGGAATCCACAGATAGCACGAGTGGCGCAACGAAGCAACTTGGAGACCCTCTTCACTTGCAACTGGCTATTTCCCAAAGCAATTTACACCTTTGAGGCCCATCTCCCAAAAGAAATACCCTGTGTACATGTTGGTTCTTCTTACAAGAAAAAAGGCAACCCAGAATTATCCCAAAGGTGTGCTTTTTTTTTCTTTCTTTCAAGAGGCAACTGGACTTTCTGAAGATGTTTCGCTTCTCATCCAAGAAGCTTCTTCAGCTTGGTGAGGAATGGAAGGACTCATCTTCCTTGCAGACAGCTGGTCATCTGCATCCTTTTAGCAGGTCATTAAGGTCACTTGGAGGCTTACCTGAGTCCTCAGTGTCACCTGAGTGGTGCAAATGGGGGTGGAGCCTTCTTGGAACTGTTGAAAGGACTGTGTTGTAGACTGGAGGTAGATGACATCCTGTCCCTCCCACTCGGTTGAGAGGGCCGTTCAATTTTGACATTAAAGGCCTCTTTCACCCCTCTTTCAAACCAGGGGTCCTTTGTGTCCAAGCTTCTTGGATGAGAAACAAAATGTCTTTCAAGAAAAAAGAAAAACCAGAAAGTCCAGTTGCCTCTTGAAAAAAAAAAAAAAAGCACCTTTGGGACAACCATGAACTGAATGACTGAGAATCTCCATAGAAACCCAGAATTATGTTCCTTCCTGCTTGCTGTCAGCATGAAGGCATTTGGCCTTCAAGCAAAGACCATGCTTAGAAACCACCACCCCCTTTCAAGAGGGTCTAATCCAGAGGTCCCCAAACTTGGCAACGTTAAGACTTGTGGACTTCGACTCCCAGAATTCCCCAGCCAGCTTAGAATTTGAAGTCTACACTCTTAAAGCTGGCAAGGCTGAGAAACATTGCCTTAAACCAGAGGTCTCCAAACTTGGCAACTTTAAGACTTGTGGACTTACAGCTCTGCTGGCTGGAGAATTCTGGGAGTTGAAGTCCACAAGTCTTAAAAGTTGGCAAGTTTGGGGACCCCTGGTCTAATCCATCCTACTTTCTTGGAAAGGGGGGGGAAAAGACAACAGAAACAAAACCACAAGTGTCGGCCTCAATATACTCCCAGCGGCTATCCTAAGATGTGAACAAAGTAGAGCACAATCCAGGGACCTGACCGAAACATTAAAAAAAATAAAAATAAAAACCACACAGCTCGTAACAAGAAACAAATATCACATTCGTGAGCAGCTCTATTTTCTCGGGTCTCCAAAGTATGAAGGATGCTGTCAGTGGAAAATTAGTGGACCAGCAGAGTTGATTAAAAGGTTGGATCTCAAGAAGGGGAATCCCCCCTCTGCCAAAAAATAAAAATAAAAATAAAACGTTGGGGGGTGGGGGGGAAATAGAGAGGGTAGGTGGGGTTTAAATAAAAAGGTATCAATATAAAAAAAAGTGACAACAGGTATTGAATACGATATATATTTTTTTTTAACTCTCTACATGGAGGAAGCCAACCTGCTCCTTTTTGATCTTCTTCTTTGGCACAACCTCCGTGGATTTCTCAGACTCTGAGCGAGTTCGTATTGATCTCCTCTGTTGCTTCTTTTCTACAGAACCTGAGGGGAAGAGAATGGTTTCCATTACAGGAGTCTCTGTCTCTTTCCTCAATGAGGGATGGCGTTCAATAGCAAAGTCCTGATTTCTCTATATTCTTCTTGAGGGCATAGACTTTAATCTGCCAGCTGTCGTTCTGGCTGCAGGCAATACATCTCAGTGCTTCAGGCAGAGTCCTGAGTTCGGGAAAAGACCAGCTTTAATACGAAGATAAAGGGGAGTTCTAGAATGCAAATTATTAGGGGGGGGGGGGGAAGGGGCTAACTTTCCAAAACCAACTCTATACCATCAAAGGATGTTCATAGGTTCTTAATTTCGTCTGAAAACTAACTGCCTGTCCAGGAGGCATAAGCTTCGGGTTATCTCAACAGTCAATCCACTGTTCTAAAATGTTCTTACACAGTTCTTAGCATCTAACTTATCTTAAAAACTTGGCGGGAAATCCAAGGACGTGCTATATGCCAGTGGTCGCCAACCAGTGGGCTAGGGACCACTGGTGGTCTGTGAGAAAATTTTGGTGGTCTGCAGAGAAATGTCATCCCCAAAGCAATTAATCCAGGCTGTGCGGGGACACAAGGCTGTGCCGCCCACAGGGCCCGTGGGAACACAAAGCTTGCGTCGCTTGCATTGCGAACAACACGAGGTTGTGAGGGGAGGGGGGAAAGGGCGGAGGGGGGGGGATTTGTCCCACGCGCCTCATCTAGCCACCAGGCTGCTTCTTTTCGCTTCTTTCTTCTTCTGCTTTCGTCTGCATGCAAGGAAAGCAGCAAAAGTCTTTCTTTCTCTTCCCCAAACTCCGCCAGAAATGAGTCTTTGGGACCACGCAAGGCATCCTGCTCCAAGAGGCTGCACCAGAGCAACAAGTCTCACAAAGATTCATTTCTGGCAGAGTTTGGGGGAGAGAAAGAAAGACTTCTGCTGCTTTCCTTGCATGAAGCCAAAAGTCTCTCTTTCTCTCTCTCTCTTTCTCCGAGAACAGAGCTGGAGACGGTATCCTGCGATCCCAAATAATAAATGATCGATCGGTAGGAAAACAGGGTGGGGGATTTTCCTGCAGACTTTTTGGGGGATTTTCCCAGGGTCTCTGGTCCGCGGGATTTAAAATTATGAGTTTGGTGGTCCCTGAGGTCCAAAAGGTTGGCGACCCCTGCTATATGCTATATTCATTTCCAGCATCAGGAAAATCAAGAGTTCAAACTCCCTAAAATGTATGCCTCTAATGTACCTCAGGCCAAATACCTACTTCACACAACACGGGGTGCAGATTTTCATAGCGAACATGAGGATCCTTTAGGGCAGGGGTTCCCCAACCTCTGGTCTGTGGACTGGCACCGGGCTACGGGATGCTAGAAACTGGACTGTGTGAACAAGCGAAGTCCCATGTGCAGGATACAGGCAGCATGAGAAATCACGCCCCCTCCAGTCCGCGGAAAAACCTCGCTCCATGGCACTGGTCCCTGGTGCTCCAAAGATTGGGCGCTGCTGCTTTAGGGGATTCTTATCGACTGGAGAATTTCCTTACCTGCAAATTCTCCTTAAACCTATTCCTCAGATAGTGGTCCATCCCATCTATTATGAAGGCAGGGGGACAAAAAAAGACTGGATCTAGGAAGGAAGCCGGAGGGTGCTACTTAATGCAGCCACAATTCTTTCTTCTAAAAGAATATGCCTCCTACACCACGTTAAATGTGTGGACCACAAGATGGTGACAATTCATGAGAATTATACCTTGCAAATTGATTAATTATTTCATTCCAAACACCACAACAACAGAACGTTGTCAACACTCCTAACCCACTCCTGGTACACATCAAAGGTTTCTTCCTCCCACCCTCCAAAAATCAGGGTCACAAAAGAGACACCCAGTTAATTGTCCCCCCACCCCACTCTGTCTCCTTGCATTACACAACAATGAATGACTAGAAGTATCTTCAGAATGCAGCTGAATCCCCTGGAGCACCCCCTGTTCATCTAAGAAAATTCTAGCTTGCCGATGAATAAGACTAGATTCATTCATTTAAAAGGAAAGAGAGAGGAAAGATGCAACAGGTGACTACATGGGACTTTGAGGAAGTTCTTCCCATGGTAGGCCCACCGTTGCTTCTTCCATTAGTCCATCTGGTATTGGAGGAACAGGCAATGTCCATCTCCTCTGGATGGATGGATATTGTCAGAATCTGACTCGGAGGGGGAGGCCGAACAGTTAACAGAAAGTGGGAGTGTGGCTCTATTGGCTGTGGAAGAAACTGGGGAAGGGCAAAGGCCGGCTGGGCAGAGCAGGGAAGAGGGAGAACAAGGGAGAGAGAATTCGGAGGAAGACCCAGGCCCACCCCCTCTTCATTCTAGGGCACACAGCAGGGAGGAATGGAGAAGGGAGCAACGTGAGTTGCATGGCTTACGGGGGAGGAAAGGGCCCTGATTCCCTTCATTAGGTGCAGCTGGGAACACAGTTTATAAAAGAGGAAGCTGTGCACAGCAAGTTGTTGGGAGCAAATGTGAATTTAACTGATATCGTTGTGGCTTATCTGTGTTCCTGGCATCTTCCCAACTGTGTGAGTTTTGCTGTGCTTTCAAGTCCGAAATTCCTTTTCCTGTCCTGTCAATTACTTCAGCTTGGTTTGTTTGGATTTTTAGTTACAGTTTGTATGTACCCTGTTTTGGATTGAATTTTCTACAGTTAAAGGCTGTTCCTGGGAGTTTTTCTCCAGCTAAAGGTAACCTGGACATTGGGGGCAAAGTTGGAGATAATAAAGGGACTCTTGTTGCTTATTTGACTGTGTTGCCTTTGTGCCACACCCTGGGTCATCACAGATATGCAGCAGCTTTCAGAAACACTGCTGATACAGGTAGTCCTTGACTTACGGCCACAATTGAGCCCAAAATTTCAGTTGCTAAGTGAGACATTTCTTAAGTGAGCTTTGTCCCACTTTTACGACCTTTCTTGCCACAGTTGTTAAGTGAATCGCCACAGTTCTTAAGCTCATACCCCGGTTGTTAAGCAAATCTGGCTTCCTCCATTGACTTGGCTTGACAGAAGGTCGCAAAACGGGGGGAATCGCGTGATCCTCAGGACACAGCAACAGTCATAAATGTGAGCCAGTTGCCAAGTGGCCGAATTTTGATCACGTGACGCTGGAACAGTCGCAAGTGTGAAAAAAATTTGTTTTTTTCCCAGCGCCGTTGTAACTTCAAACGGTCGCTGAACAAATGGTTGTAAGTCAAGGGCCACCTGTAGTTTTCCCTGCAGGAGACTGTTGGATACAATGAATTGCAATTTTCCTGTGTATTTAAGGACTGACATACATTCTTAGTATTAAGAATAGCGGGGGCCGATTATCAACCAATAATCAAAATACAAGAGACAATCGCCATCAGGCTGTTTTTAGTAGGGATTTTTCCTAATTGCTGCTTTCCTTTATGTTTCAACAGCTGCAGTTCTAAATGAAGAAGCACCAAAAAAAAAAATAAAGGAGCCTCTGGATATCTCAAAATTTACCTACCTCAAAAGGGAGGAGGAAATCTATTATTGTTCAAGGTGTTGTTGTTTTTTTGTGGTCAGGGTAGAAACCATTCATCAAATCGCACTTTGAACAAAAGCTCACAGTGTAATAAAGACGATAGTTTAAGGCAGGGGTCTTCAAACTGGGCAGCTTTAAGACTTGTGGACTTCAACTCCCAGAATTCCTGAGTTAACCTGACTGGAGGAGGAATTCTGGGAGTTGAAGTCCACAAGTCTTAAACTTGCCAAATTCGGAGGCCCTTGGTTTAAGGTGCTGTGCGATATTTCATCGTTTTCCTGTAATGCAGTCAATGGTTATAGCAGCATTCCTGGAAACTTGCTACTACAAAGGATTATGGTCCCACGTTCTTTGAAGGAAGTCTAATGATATAATTCTGCAAACTTTAAAATGTGCATTCCGTCGATTCAAAGATTTTAAGCTAAAACGAACGCCCCAATTCTTTAAACTGTGGCCACAGATTTAAGTCGGAAAATCTGCACTTTCACTCAGTTGTTGACATGAGCAAAGGCTCAACTGCGGTTCAGCTATGCTTCCATTGTGGTCCTCTCAAAAGGCAAGGCTCATTCTACCGTGTTTTCCCCCAAAATAAGACCCTGTCTTATATTTTCCCCCCACCAAAAACGGCACCAAGTCTTATTTTCAGGGGATGTCATCCACTGACTAATCTCACTTGCGCGCATCGCCCCTGGCCTCCTTTTCGCTGTCAGAGGCCTTCAGAAATATTTTCTTCTGCAGCTGGCAAGGCTTTCCTGAAGGCCTCTGCATCCCATAATAGAGCTCTGGATTGATCCAGAGCTTTGTTATCAGCTACAGAGGCCTTCAGGAAAGCCTTGCCAGCCTTGCTGGCTGCAGAAGAAATGTGCCAGCAAGGTAGGTGTTGGGGTGTGTGACGTCCGACTACAACTGTTCAAAGGTAAGCAGTAGGACAGCTCCACCCCCCTATTCCCACCCTAGCTTAATTTTTACCCGTCCACTCTGGTGGGGTGGGATCTTAACTAGGGCTTATTTTGGGGGGTAGGGCTTATATTGGGAGCACATGTAAAAAATCAAGCTAGAACTTACTTTCAGGGTAGGTCATATTTTTGGGGAAACAGGGTAGTCCAGCTCAACTACCAATAACTGCATGGACCACTGTAGAGAATTGGTTGGCCAAGGCCTATTTTAGTCTATCCTTTGCCTCGGGGTTCTCTGATGGTCTTCTAGCTCACATCAACCAGCTTAGCAATCACCGAAGGTCAGTTGGAGCCCTTTGCTTTGGTTTTTCACCTAATACTTTACCCTTGGAAAACATCTGTTTCATTTGGCCTTAAACCAGGAGCTACAAACTTTACCTACTTGCCAACCCAGAAGACGTTTCTGGAGAGGGTGCACTTTGTGACGAGGCTCTCTCGGTTCGCGGGATGGAGACGGAAGTGACTTTGTCATGCCCTTTGATGATTATCTCTGGTTTGTTTCCTATGCCCTGTTACAAATTAAAAGAAGGGGTTTTGAGTATTTCTCAATTAGGGTCTCTATAAGAAATACATTTTTCAAATATTTAGCACAGTAACACACACACACACACACACACACACACACACAAACATTCAGAAGGGTGTGCATAAAACAAGGGCATCCACAAAATGTGGGAACACTCCTGACTAGCTCAAAGAGAGGAGATTCTTAAGGTGGAGAACAACCTTGAAAAGGAAATGGTCAAGACCAGGGGTATCAAACTGGATTTCTTTGAGGGCTGGATCAGCATTGTAGTTCTTATCCACAGGCTGGCGGAGAGGGGAGATGGGATGGATGCCTCCTGCTGGCCAAAGCGGAGTGGAGGGAGGCCGTGTGTGGCCCCCGTACCCCATTTGGGCCATCAGAGTGCTGCAGGATGCCGTCCAGGCTGAAAACTGGCCATGGGGAGGCTGTGTGTGCCTCCCCCGTGCCCTGTTTTTGCTAGCAGAGGCACCGCAGGCTGGTCCTTTGCTATTTCCAGGCTGGCCCTGCGGGCCGGATTTAAGCACCCCATGGGCCGGATCTGGGTCGTGGGCCTTGTGGTTGACCTGGTCAAGACCTTTTCCTTGCATTTTTGGATTGCAAGCAGTTCTCCCCTCCCTTCCAAACAGTGCCGCCGTTACAATGCTACTAAATTATGAGCCATCTCCTTGCTCAGCGTCCTTGTCTGAAATTTCGTGACTGTTCTAGAACTTGGAATACTGAGATTAAAAAAAAAAAGAAGTAATAGAAACAAGGACACAAAACAAAGATGATGACATGGAGGATGAAAAATAAATAAAAGACTGTTAAGCGCAAATCCCAAAGGTGCTTTTTCAAAAGAAGAACCCGGACTTCTATTTTTCCTTGAAGATGTTTCGCTTCTCATCCAAGAAGCTTGTTTGCTTCTGACTAAATGGTGGAGAATGCTAATGACCAGATGACTGCAAGGAATATAAATCCTTCCGTTCTCCACCGTTCAGTCAGAGGTGAAGAAGCTTCTTAAGATGAGAAGCAAAATGACTTCAAGGAAAAACAAAGTGCAGTCACCTCTTGAAGAAGCGTGTTTGGGACAATCATGATCTGGATAACTGAGAATCTCCATAGATGTTAAGTGCAAACGAACAAAAGGATTCCAGCCTGGGCACAGAGTGAACGAACCCATAAACCTGAGACTGGGAAAGAAGGGGAGACACTCCAACCACTGCAAAAGTGTAAGCCATTATGGGAAATTTGTTTTTTTTTTTTTGTTTGCAAAAAAGCCAGCAGGGATAGTAGCTAGATTAGTTCCATGAACGTGCATGTATGCAACAGGGACCACCTGAGAAAACTCATGATCTTATGAAACAGCAGAACAGGTGAATTTAAGCATAATGGTTGTGATTTAATATTAAAGAAGGGAATCTTAAATTCTCCTGCTTTTGCAAATTACTCTTTTGAAATAGGAACGCGTTGGCGGATTTGTCAAAGATGGTAGGTTGACAATTCCGCTCTAATTATCACATTTTTTTTTCCTAGTGGATAGCTGTCCACACATATTTACTCAAAAGTAGAGAATTATGGTATCTGAAAAACAATTTGAAGAGGGTGCAGGGACATCTCTGGATGCGATCTAATAACTCACACAGAACACTGGCCAATTTCACATGACATTATTTCTCCTGGAAGTAAGCACCCTAAATATAGGACGAATGATTGCTATTCTTGACATTTTAAGGTCAAACCAATTCACACCAATATTTTATACTGCTTGCAATCTTAAAGCGCATAAGGAAGCCGTTAACCTCACAGTAAATTATTCTGAACTCAGTCGGACTTACTTCCAGGTAGTTCTTAGGAGGACTGCAATGTAAAATCTTTAATACTGGTTTGCACAAATATTCTTTACTAGCTTGATACCCATGCTTTGCTATGAAACTATGTGGTCAGGCTTAGTTTTTGGGGAGGAAAATAATGGGGGGGGGGGATTCTGCCTCTGCCTACCAGCATCCATTGGTATTCATCTGGCTAGCGTCCTGTCAGTGTGTGAGAGAGTTGAGGGCTTTTTGGAAACTGAAAGAGTATTTGCTGTGTGAGCAAGGAGACAGCAAGGAGCCTGGACGTGGCTTAGCTCAACTGTTCTGTACTAAAGCTGGTTGCTGCTTTGAAACTAAAACTGAAACTGAAATTCCTCTCCTCTGCTTGTGTTTTGCATTTGGAACAGATTTCTTTTCAGGTGGGGAGGGGGAGTAGAACCCCTTAGCATCAGAGTGTGTTAATAATAATAATATAGGAAATACTAATTTTTCATTCTGAAAAATTCTTTCTTAGTGAGCACCTAGAAGCCAAGAGGAACATACGTGCCCAATTTCAAGTTTGTAGGCTTTACGGTTCTAGAGATTTTGTGAAGATGCGTGAGGGGTATTTCACTTTTATATAGATAGAATAAGAGAGTTTTGTGTTTCTTTACCTTGGCGGAGTAAACAAACTGATCAATGAACTTTCCATTCCCAGCTGCATTCTGAAGAGCAAAAACTTGTTCAATTTTAACAACTGGAGACATATTACATTTTTGAAGGTCCAGGGTTCCTTTGTGCATGGTGATTGACGCTGGGAGAGATTTTCTGGCCGCAGCAGTTTTCCACTGAATTTTCACAGGAGGAGATTCTTCATCTGCACTGCACTGTCTCCTCTGGCTATACCTCCGGACCTCCGTTTTGGGCGGAGACGGTGCGGCCAAAACATCATTGGTCTGTTCTGGCGGAGAATTTGGCGGTGATTTGATTTTGCGGATCTTTTTAGCCTCAATCTTAGGCATGACAATCCGTTTGGCTTTCGAGGACACCTCTTCTGGCTCTTTATCTACGTAGATGAAGGTGTACTGCTCTATCCTCTCTTCCAGACTCATTTTTAGCGCTTTCTCAGCGTGGGCAATGCCAATATCCCACTGTGCCCGTTCTCTCTGCGGCCTCGGTTTGCGAATCTTAGGAGAGAAAGAAAAGACGTGCCATTCATTCAGCCCCTACTTACAAACTGTGCCCAAATGAAAACAGGCTTGGCTTCAGTTGCCATGTCAAAGTATTTCCAGAGAGAGATGGCCCTGTCAGACGGTTGCAGCAAAATGATTGAGTTAGTAATGTCAGGTTAAAGCAGATTCTTATTTAAAGCATCCCCCTCTTCTTAATTTCTGACCATGCTATAGATACTGAAGTTTTCCTGACTATCAACGCAGTCGGACTGACTTCATGGAGGAAAAAAAGATGCAAACAGTTAACAAAAAAGGGTCACAAGAGTTCAAAATGTTTTACAAGCTAACCCTAGCTGGCACAAAGTGCTAAGGCTACCTGAGGTGCTTCCTTATAGTACTGGACAATTCAAATGATCTGGACAATTGCATAATTCATCTTTGATAGTAACCACAGTAGACTTGAACAACTATTATAGAGACCTACTGTTTAAGAGAAGTATAATCAGCAGTGTTGATGAATGTAAGCAGCCTAAATTTTCAAACAAAATTTATTTTTGGCCTTCAACATTATCCTCCACACTATAGAATAGAATAGAATAGAATAGAATAGAATAGAATAGAATAGAAT